AGTCTTGAGTATAACATTCAACAACCGAGTAAGCCATTCCAACCCTGTTCTACCCACACACCTTCAAAGTTCAACCGAAATTTCGTCTGGCCCGGTAGCTCTGCCGCTCCTCATCTATTACCAAAAAAAATTCCAAGAAAAGAGCCTAATTATAGTTTGAGTATGACATTAATATAATTCTTTTACTATGATTTACCGGCCTACTTAGTATTCTTTTAGTGGCGGAGTAAAAATTGAAAATGCACATGTTTTCAAGTGAATAAATTGAATCTAAAATTCATGTGCTGGTGATAATATATAATGTTCAGGTGAGAGCATTAATAGATAGTGTTACAGAACGTGCTAGATCTAAACATCGAGAGAAAAGGAATCGTATTTATGAAATGAAGCTATGCTGCAGATATCTATCTAATCAACAAATGCAGTCATTAGATTTTCCTATTCGACTTAATTTTCTCAAATTTATGCTTCTATTTTCAGTGCATCAACGAAAAACTCAACGTAAAAGGAAATTACTAATGCAAAAGATGCTTTTGCGGGCTTTCAGAAAAAAATTATTAGCAGCGTTCTAAAAGATACATTTACCTTCCACCGGGTCATATACGCATGCCCCATTGTTTTTTTAATAGTGTAGAAGGAAAAGGTTTTATGTCGCCTAAGCCTTTAAATTGTCATGTATAATCAACTTTGACATTTCTTCTTGCAAGAACAACTCACAAGTTAACTTATAGAAACTAATAGGATGGACCATTAAATCACACGGAGAAAGGAAAAATAGTGCTATTCTACTTCAGGACTAAATAATTAACAAGAAATTAGCCAAATTCACATGTGTAATAAGTGTTCCCAAATCATGACTACTGCCTTACTAATAGTGATAAAATTTCATTGGTTTCATTTTAAAGAATCCATTGGTAGATTTCCACCGAATCCTGTAAGTAAACTCATTTTTTCAAGTATTAGAAAATTGATCATGTCACACAATTCCCCTTAGTTGGGACGGGAGGTTCAACAGATTCATGTTAGTTAACAAATAAGAAGAGGTCAATTATGAGCGTATAAGTTATGTACACTGAACATACAAAGAATGATTATGCTACCAATATAATTAGTTGGAAATGGGGCAATTAACTTTTTTTTTTTTTTTTTTTTTTTTTTTTTGCTAAGGAAAGGAACTTCTATTCAAAAGAAATAGACTTATTACACAGTAGAAATTGGTCGTTTAGTCCCCGTTCAAGATATATCTTCTTTTAGTACATCTAAGATAAAAGTGGGAGGGAATACAAAGATTATGATATTTTTTTGCATNAAAACCCAACAAAATTGAGCAAATAGAATCCTCGGAGTTAAGTTTCCATTGACACTATATAGCAACAATAAAATTTAGAAAATGGCCTCACATGAAAAAGTGAAAAAGTGATTTATAAGTAGAGCACATATCCAAAAGAAAAACGCAAAGTTGATAAAAGAAAACATGTGGGGCAGGAGTAGAAAAGAGGAAAAAGCACATCAGAACATTTTCACCGCACAGAGTAGATACAATATCAAACTTAACTGGGAAAGAAAACCAAGAGAGAATAGGGGTGTGTTTGGTATAAGGGAAAATGTTTTCGTGGAAAATATTTTCTTGGAAAACAAATAGTAATCTTTTTTATTTTTCGGTGTTTGGTACGCAAATTAAGGAAAATAACTTTTCAAGAGTATTCATAAATAATTTAGATATAATAAACATGAAACCATAAACTTTCTAACCAACAACCTTCCGAACCCACAAATTTCATAAACTTTCGAACTATTAAACTTTCAAAACCGCGGAATTTCGAACCCGTAAACTTTATAATTTCTAAACCTGTAAACTTCAAAACACATAAACCTCCGAACTCATAATTTTGAAACTTGTAAAATTTTAAACTTTAAACCGATAAATAAAAAAATTAAAACTGAAAAATATATTTAAAAAATATATTTTTTC